CTGTGAGCTACCACAAGATCTTGTATATATTTCCCTGTGTTATACAGTATAATCTTGTTTATCTATCCTGCATATGCCTGTCAGTATCTACAAATTTTGAAATCCTAGTCTGTCCCTTCCCACCCCCCTGCCCCCTTGGTAACCACAAGTTTATATTCTATGTCTGTGAGTCTGTTTCTGTTTTGTATTTATGTTCTTTTTTTTAGATTGCGTTCCCACCCCCCTGCCCCCTTGGTAACCACAAGTTTATATTCTATGTCTGTGAGTCTGTTTCTGTTTTGTATTTATGTTCTTTTTTTTAGATTGCGCATATGAGCAATCTCATATGGTATTTTTCTTTCTCTTTCTGGCTTACTTCACTTAGAATGACATTCTCCAGGGACATCCATGTTGCTGCAAATTGCATTATGTTGTCATTTTTAATGGCTGAATAGCATTCCATTGTATAAATATACCACAACTTCCTTATCCAGTCATCTGTTGATGGACATTTAGGCTGTTTCCATGTCTTGGCTATTGTAAATAGTGCTGCTATGAACATTGGGGTGCAGGTGTCATCCTGAAGTAGGGTTCCTTCTGGATATATGCCCAGGAGTGGGATGGCTGGGTCATATGGTAAGTCTATTCCTCATCTTTTGAGGAATCTCCCTACTGTTTTCCACAGTGGCTGCACCAAGCTGCATTCCCACCAGCAGTGTAGGAGGGTTCCCTTTTCTCCACAGCCTCTCCAGCATTTGTCATTTGTGGACTTTTGAATGATGGCCATTCTGACTGATGTGAGGTGATACCTCATTGTAGTTTTGATTTGCATTTCTCTGATAATTAGTGATATTGAGCATTTTTTCATGTGCCTATTGATATTTGTATTTCTTCCTTGGAGAATTGCTTGTTTAGGTCTTCTGCCCATTTTTGGTTTGTGTTGTTTGTTTTTTTCTTATTAAGTCATATGAGCTGCTTATATATTCTGGAGATCAGCCTTTGTTGGTTTCATCATTTGCAAAAATTTTCTCCCATTCTGTAGGTTGTCGTTTTATTTTACTTATGGTTTCCTTTGCTTTGCAGAAGCTTGTAAGTTTTATTAGGTCACATTTGTTTATTCTTGCTTTTATTTCTATTGCTTGGGTACACTGCCCTAGGAGAACATTTTTGAGATGTATATGAGATAATGTTTGCCTATATTTTCTTCTAGGAGGTTGATTGTATCTTGTCTTTTGTTTAAGTCTTTGATCCATTTTGAGTTTATTTTTGTGTATGGTGTAAGGGAGTGTTCTAGCTTCATTGGTTTACATGCTGCTGTCCAGTTTTCCCAACACCATTTGATGAAGAGACTGTCTTTATTCCATTGTACATTCTTGCCTCCTTTGTCGAAGATTAGTTGACCGAAAGTTTGTGGGTTCACTTCTGGGCTCTCTCTTCTGTTCCATTGGTCCATATGTCTGTTTTTGTACCAATACCATGCTTTCTTGATGACTGTAGCTCTGTAGTAGTGTCTGAAGCCTGGGAGAGTTATTCCTCCAGTCTCTTTCTTTTTCTTCAGCAATGCTTTGGCAATTCTAGGTCTTTTGTGGTTCCATATAAATTTTATTATAATTTGTTTAGCTCTGTGAAATACATCCTGGGTAATTTGATAGGGATTGCATTAAATCTGTT